TTTCTCCTTTCCCTACGTTGTTCATTACCTGCTGTTGGTTAGCCGTGTACTCGACCCTGTCCAAGAATGTGTGGTGAAGGCTTTCGTTGTGTTCTGCAGCCACCGTTTCTTAGAAAACACTCATGGGGAATTTCCTTCGAACTATATGCGGTCTGTTTGAGCTGGAACAGGCTGGGGATGCTTTTGTGTGCTACTATTTTTGGACGTTTTTGTTGCAGGTATTTGGTTTGCGCGCTCAACTGGTCGTTATAGCACATTATCAGTAGGCCCTTTCCTGTGTGCTAGGCTTTCCAAAGCGGTTTGGCTAGTTTATAATCCAATATTTAACGGATTCCTGTTGAGCCATGATAAGTCAAGTACGTTGGTTATCAGTTTTCAGCTTAGGCCTCCACATATTCATCACCGTATTTGCGCTATCCAGTGGATCATGACCGGATACTGTCTCCTCAATCGACAATATTACCTAATATCGCGGATCCAAAGGTCACAGTTGTGTTATCTCCGTCCGCACTTTTCACGCTTTGTGATATACTCTATCCACACAGTGGTTTTTAAAGCGGATGGGGTTTTTGGACAGTGGAGATAAGAGGAAGTCGTCTTCGTGTGTGAGGATTTTTCTCGAAAATGGAGTCTCCATTCGGATCCCTTTTTTGTACTGTCCAAAATAACGAATGCTAAGCCACAAGCAACATCTCCACTCGGACTCCATCCTGCCCTGTTGGATGTTTCTTTTGAAACTTGAGCGATGTTGTATTATTGAAGTCCAAAAGCCGCTTGGTCATTGTTGGTCATTGTCGTTTTCCGTAACGCCTTTATATTCGTAGACATCACGTGGACAGCATGCTTGAACAGGACGCCACAACTGGGTCATGTAGTTTTTGCTTGGACTGGCTAAAAGTTTTCTCATGACCTCACTGCTATGGTACTCCCTAGACCTCAGGATCCATCCCTTATACTGCCTTATGGATACGCAAATCAAATGAGAGATGGAACATCCTCCCAAGCGCAACCTTTTCTACCATAACGACTAGAGTCGTTTGCTTTTTCGCATACCTGTTACAGGGGGACCGGTGAATAATAAGTGAGACACTGTAAGGAGGGGCTTCTACTGCATGTGCTGTGTTATTCATACTTTAAGCTTGTATTTGATGTTCCAGACACTTGGAGCCAATAATGAATTGAAAGTAATGATATTGTCCTGTTTATCACGAGAAATATATTTTCCATTGTTCTTACTCTCCATGTGAAGTTGATCTTTAGCGTAGACTAACTGGGGTGTCCTAAGGCACGTATTAAACCAAACCCTCCTATGTGGGACACTGCATGACGACTTCCTCACTCTCCACTTAGTGCATATCCTTTACTACTACCAGTCAGGAGATTGCTCAGTGGTTGAGACGCTAGTCCATAGCCTTTATCCTCATCGCCATCAGTCATAGTCATTGTACAAGTCGTACAGTAGTTCTGACCGCCACAGTTTCCTACAATATTTTTTCAGTGGATTGAGAAGCTTTGGGTACGCATTTTAAGCGACACCTGAAAACGCACAACTGAAAGCCCAACCATTACGATGCATGTCTCATTGACGCGAAAGGTGGGGAATGATCTATCTATTGAAGTGGTGTGTCCAACCACTGATGTGTATCCTCTTAGGGTTGTCATCCAGATAGACGACATTTTCAAGCTCAATTGAGCCTTTGAGTAATAGGCGCTATGTCAGAACGCGCGCTGTCAGATCTTGACTTGATCTCTTCTACATCGATCCTGCTATTTACATGAGGACATTCCTGTGGCATTCGAAGCTTGTAACTAACAAACTAGCAACTAACTAACAAACTAACAAGCCTGTAACTAACAAACTCAAATCGACCACGTTGCCATCAGTTACCGATGGCGCGGGTCCATAGCTGACTGCCGGTCGTTTTGGAACACATTTGTGGACTCTGA